TATGTAGAGTACTGCTTGCAAACCAATGATGGTAAGATGATGTCATGGGGTAGGACTGGATAAGTCTGACTTCTTCCTACTCCATTCAAGCATGTACAAGGTATAAGCAAATTGATATTGGATTAGCATTTGTTGGATATGTGTAAAATTATGTGTGTTGTCATATCAACTGTCTTTACATGCTTGAAAGAATAAATAAATAAATCAAATCAAATCAATTGAGCCAGGTCTTCTTTCTCAAGCAAAGATCCAGCTTTCATCAGTCACACCATATTTCATGAGGAAATGTACTTTAGAGTTTTTATTAAAATTATGTAAACTACACAGCTAATGTGAAACATCTGAAATTTTAATAGCAATCCACAACCTCTGAGACATTCAGTACCAAGCTGTACCTGTTCAATAAACAGTTAATGGATGTTTAGTTGTACACTTTACTGTCCCTTTACTGTCTCTGAAACTGGTGCATAAGAGGGCTGTGATTATTCTATTTAACGGCAGCAATTAAAATAGCTTACAAGTATTGTAACAATGTGCAAAAAAGCTAAATAAAAACCCTATAAAACTGACTGCATTCTGTAATTTCTGTGTTATGCATTCAACTTGATTCTACAGGTGCATGTAGAGCTTGTTTCTGTAACCTGACTACTGTATAATGACAGCACTGAGCACTGGGAAAGGCTATCAATGTATGAATGTTGCATCAAAACAAATGACTGTCAAAGAGCAATTATCCAGATAATTTGCGATGATAAGGACACTGCTGATCATTTACTCAGCTGACATTTGGAATAATGGGGGAGGCCAGCAGCGTCCAGAGCACAACCCTGTCTATTCACCTTTGAGGGAGAGTACAGAAGTTGCTTACATAGGGAGGGAGAAAGAAAAAGCATCTACAGACAAAATATACTGTGCTGAAAAGTGCTTCTGCCTGTTGGATCATTTCCAAACTCAATGTCTGACTCATAATGAATCACATGGTACAACATGCACCTGGATCTTATTCAGATGAACAGTGGGAACAATGACAGTGTTGTGGCTTTATCACTTGAATCATGAGCATGTAGAATTTTAGTTTCAAGCTCTCAGAGGAACTGCTGCGTAACAGCAGCACATAGCACAGCAGCTACCAGTGGTGAAAAGTACTACATTTACTCAAGTACTGTACTTAAGTATAATTTTGAGGTATCTGCACTTTGGACTGTAAATGGATTGTATTTATATAGCGCATTTTTTCCACAGTGTGTTGCACTGGCTTTGAGTATTTTCATTTACTGCTACTTCAGACTTTGGCTTCACTCTATTGTTGATGCTTATTACCTGTTTATCTACTGACCGAATACACCGAGAGTGGCCACTGTTACCACTGTGATAAGACAAAAACACCACATACTGAACTACATACAGTATTAGGGCAGCACGGTAGCTTGTGAAATGTCTTGACAACTTATGGATGGACTTCCGTAAAAATTTGTAATACATATTAAAGATCCCTATAGCAGTGGCTCCCAAAGTGGATGCCACAGCACCCTGAGATGCCTCGATAGTGGGTCAAGGGTGCCACAAGATTATCATAGTTAGTTTATTGTGAGTTTTTAGTAACGTGTCCCCACATTTAAAATGGCAACAACTAAGTATGTTCAAATTAAAAGAACAAAAATTCGTGAGTTAAAAATAATCTATTTTAATTTGGAGTTTTGCCACAGGTGATGACTATTCACTGTTAGCGGTTGTCACTGTAGTGTAACACACTTTCCAGTTTGGGAGTTTTTCCATTAGGAGCAAGTTAATGTGCATCTGAGGAGACTGAATATGAGTATGAATGAATATGGTCTATATTATATAGCTGTAAAGTTTTTTTAACCCAAACTGAAAACAATTAAACGGTAGCAATCAGTGCAGTTACAAGGTCTGATGGTCTTATTATACTGATCTACAAACTGAAAACATCCAGACACTATCACATTGTAGCCACCAAGCAACGCATCTGATGCATCACTTCCAAAAGTATGGCACTTGGGTGTTCATTATCAGTTCTTATTGGCAAAATAAACTGAACGAGTCATTGTTTACAATAATACAAAGCTTCCCAGTTTTCTCCTGTTTTTTGAAACTGTAATCAGGATGTTCTCTGCTGGCTACAACAGCTTTATTGGGAGTTATAACAACTAACTGTGAAATGGATGTTAATGCTGGTTAAGGCAGCCATTGAGACACAAATGAACTTCCACACTGTATATTCAGGGATGATTTACCATCTCTAGGGGAAGACACATAACATTTCCTCCATTTCTTCTGTTGCCGAGTGCCTGTACTGTATCTGGTGAACCCTTTCTCTTTGAATGAATCAGTATAACTGAACACCAACAACAAAAACATGAATAATTTGTAGGGAACTTACAAATTACTGACTGTTACTTTGCTTAAGGCCAAGTGAGTGCTTCAGAGCGGGACATGCACTATAATCAAATATTTCATTTCTCTAGAACAAATTGTCTTTGTACTTTTAGACAGTTGAGCCACTATCTACAATACACAGAGAACCCTGTGAAGCCTTGTGCTGGCAAGACTTTACTTGATAGCATCAAGTGACAGTTGACTTGGCAGTCTGTTGACAATGAATTAGTGATTTACTAAAGAGAAGTTGTGTTTTGTTGTATATTTAACATGCCATTGTTTCTAAATGCTTTTCCTTTTTGGTTTGGTTTGTCCCAGTGCCTGCAGAGCAGCAACAGGATTTGTCTGTATTCACTATAGACTCAGTTTATATGCAGTTCAGCTTCAAAAGAAACTTGTTTAAATTCACAAATTATGATCATTACAAATCTGAAATTGGATAAAAATGCTCAGACGGGCAGTTTCACGCTGTTTTTACTGCAGCAAAAGGAGTACGATCAGATGTGCTGCTGGGAATACAGTTGTTTATCATTTTCTTTCTTCATTCCTGCCTACACACTGCCAAATTACTTGTAGGTAAAACAATGTGCATAATGAGAGGAGTGTTTAGGCCTTCATAAAAAGGATAAACAAAGGGAACTTCAGTAGCTCAGAGATTGGATTCATCATTAATTGCACACTATGCTCACCAACAATATGACAGGCAGTTCTTAAATCTCTGAATATGTGCATCAGTAACTGCCAAGTGATGAGTTATTGTCTGATACATTGTCCCTGATAACTAGTAGCTCTTTATCAAACTTCATGAAAATCATGCACTTGATCACAAGTTTGACTGCAGGAAACAGTCCCTGCTGCTACTTTTAAACGGCCCAGGGCTAGTCCACACTGTTAAATTCTGCTGACTGGTCACAGTGAGCTCTACTCTACCACGCTCATCCAGACTCAGTAAGTGCACACTCCTCTTGTTTTAAATTATGAAAGCCTTGTAATGAAGGATTTTTAACATTTGCACTTTAACAAAGCAGTGCATCTTGCATACCTGCAATAGGTAGCCTTTAGGCAGCTAGATTATGTTGGTATTGTTAAAATATGTCTGTTTCATTGTGCTACACACATTCCTTGTTACATATTGTATTGTTTTTGTTCTGTCATGGACCGGACACTCAAATGAAGAAAAGGAATCTCAGTGAAGCAAATAGCAAATAAAGTTAAATGAAGTTATGAAGTTTGTTTGTTGCCAAGATATTATTTACAGTTTATTTTTTTGTTTTTTTCAGGTCTAATGGTCTGAGGAGGAAATAAAAATGCCAGATTTTTAAACCAGTTATGTAGCTGACTTCCCAAAGAATCTAAAAACAGCTCCTGTCTTTTGTTGTTTTTAATCTCTGTTGCCAACTCTGCATGGGTCCTTGATTTCAGGCTTACAACAGTTTGCTGCCTCTAAAATATATAACAGGCCTATTATGTCTAAAAAAAAACCTGTTACTTTTGAATGTGAGGGTTAATTTGCCTAATATGCACATTTCTATGGAAATCATAAATGTGTTAAAGGAACTTTTAGTTGATTTATTTCCTAACTTTAACCCTCTATAGCTGGGACCATTTGGTTCCTTCTGAATTCAGTCAGTGGTTTAAGTCACATTAGTTGAGACACAACCTCCACACTGGGACCAATAACCAAAAACACACATGGATGTCATGGTGGGTCTACCGGATAAGGTTCACGCTGTGTGTCCTAATGTCCCATACTGCTTAAATTGTTTTTCTTCTTTCAACTGTCTTGTTAGGGGGTCGCCACAATGGAACAATTCATCTGCATAGACGTGGAAATTCAGATCTGCATGTGTGATTTGGCACAGGTTGTTGCAAGCCTCCCATTTTACCCAGGGTTAGGACCGGCAGTAAAAGTGCACTGCTTTATGCAACCCTAGTGGCTGGGTATAGTGGATTGGGTAGGAGGCCAACCCAGACCGCCTGCATGGCAAGCAGGAACAAAGACAGCTTCAACTTAATTATTAGAAGACTAAATACACATTTTACATTAGCTTTTGTGTCTGTGTTAGATAATTACAAACAGATGGGACATACAAAAAAAGAGTAGACATAATACACTAAACTGTGTTAAGAGTGTGTAATGTCTGTCTATAACCTGACAGAACAGAGGTACACACATACTAACCCAGCTTGCATCTGTGTTTCAATTTTAGACCTACAGCTTTTTGACACAAAGTGTGTTGGTGGTGTCCATGCACAGGACAGACCAGGCCAGAAGACAACAATGTACTTTATAAAGCAATATTTACATAGTGGTTGTTTCCTTGTGAAAAGCCAAAACAACAAAGACGGCTGACATGACGGTGGCAACGGTTACTTTGGACGGGCCACAAACTAGCATCTGTGGGAAAATGTCATACTCTACTGATGCAAGTACAGTATGTGGCACAATTACACACCCACACATACAAACACTAATATGTCAACTCGCAGTCGCAGAGTGGCAAGTACTTTGCCATACGCTTTCCCATCTGTTAGTGCAGGCAAACAAGTTTCCTGCTGGCCAAAGGACCTCCAGATGTCCCGTATCACTGCTCTGACTCATATCAACACACAACATCCAACAGATGCAATGATAGCTAAATCTCTTTAACCACATGAAACTATACCAAGGACACATTTACCATGTCCATACAGAGTACTGTATGGCTCAGTTCGGGCTGGCTTCTCTGATATCCTACTGTAGCTCTAATGTATATGCAGCCACTGGAAGGATATGATGCTCCAACAGATGCCCAACTTGCTGTTGATCTGGCAGCCCTGGGCATGCTGTCGCTCCTCCTCCAGCTGTTTGGGGTTAGTGAAGCGAGCTGACTCCTGGTCCGGCAGTGGCAGACTCTCAAAGTCAAACTTGTCGACCTGGATGGCCATCCTGGAAAAGGAGATGGGAGAGGTGCTTAGAGATACATGTCTCTGCTTATATATTGTTTCACTGGCCAAAAGGAAAGTCTGCAGTAACACCTTGATTTCTCTAGGTATAACAGTAATGTAACCGTCATGTGAAACTTTAAAACTGAAATAAAAACAAAGGTTCAAGGCTCAGATTTATTCAGGTTGAAATTGATTATAGTATTTTGAGCCAACAATTAGCTTGAGTAATCTATGCTTTAAAAAGTTCAACCATTTAGTGTAGGTTGAACTAATTTCTACATTTTTAAATTGTGTGCTTACTTAGCTTACTGCCCAAAACCATCAATTATTACATTTTCACTAATAAAACTAGAATTACTGCTTTGAGGTTGTATGCCTCATGGGTATGGGACAGAAGTGAGGTCAGTGACCTTTGACCACTGGTGTGAAGGCACAACAACTGAAAAAAAGCATGCATCATTTATGAATTAATCTGTTGATTAGGTCTGTGCTAAGCAGCTATTAGATCACAGGACTCCTTTCAGTATTAATGTAGCGTCTCCTCCCACGATTCTCTTAACTGTATTTTGGCAAAGCTAGAGTTAGACACAAAAACTAATGACTGAAACCAATAACTAAAAAAAGAAAAATTCATCCATACTGTAGACTCTGAACACAATGTTACAGTAGAATTATTTCAAGTACAGTACTGCTCTGAGTTTCTGTTTGCAGTGCCTTTTACTTCACCTGATATTTATGGGCTAGAGAAGAGCTTGTGAGTTTGTCTACTGCCAGTAAGGCAGGATGCTCTTTAGTATTTTTAATCAAAAACTACATTCGTATCATTTTATTTGTACAATTGACAACTTTCTCTATTTTGGACACTGGCTCTCTGTTCTGACCAAGGTCAGCAGTGTCAAGACAGCTTGTTACTCGTCAGCAGCACAGATGTATGTGTCATTTACAGATTTACTTTGGCCCCTTAAGAGATTTTACACTGTGGAAATTCCACTGGAATTAAGTTTGCTGGTGTGACCCGTCGTTAGCTGCAAGAAATGCTAAAGAAGTATACGCCCTGGGTCTCAAGATAAAACCAGCATGGCAGCCAACACAGTTTAAACAACTTTCTACTCCAAACAACAACCATAAACCCTATTAATTAACAAGAGACTGCATTTACAGTAGCCACCTCTACTATAACTAGCAATAGATCAGAGTCCTCTGCTCATCTTTATCTACACAATAGTTCCAAGGAAGACCTTGTTTACATTTCTGTCAGATGAGAACCAGTGTAAACTGCTTTGTATTGTTTGGCAAGTGATACATTATTTATCTAGTCTGAACAAACACCCCCAGGTCAAAGCTTCCCCCTGCACTAAGGGTGCTTCTAAGTTGTTTATTAACAAGAGCCAAGGTGTGTGTTGCCTGAGGCTACATCGAGTGTCACATCCAGAATTTAAAGTGAAGTGTAACAAACTAAACTAAAAACCACATATGTGCTCATTAAAATGACCACAAAGCTCTGCTCTAGTTACTCCCACACCGTTCAAGTTGTCCACTGAATGCCAGTACTAATAGGAGGTATTCTCTGTGTGACAGTTCACAACTCTGTTCAGGTCCCCAGTGAATCCCATAGAGTCCAGTACAAACGCAGTGGATACAGATATTCTAAGGGGAAAGGGAGATTTAAAAAAAAAAAAGGTTGTGATAAGGTGGAACTCCCCCAGCGTCACCTGGACGAAGCAATGTGTGATGCAACCCACAAGCTCTAGACTGCTCTGCCTCAGTAAATTACCAAAACACTACAAAATACCAGAAAGCATTAAAACAGCTTTTTTTTTTTTTGCTAGTAGGCACACAACAATGACATTTTATTACTGTGTTAGCTGTTGCCTGTTTACCTACTGTTCATCACTCCCTCACTCTGTCCACTAGTGCCTGCTTGAATAACTTTTTGCACAAGTCTTTTGCTAAAAGCAGCTGTCTGCTGCAGGTTAAAAAACAGCCAATGAAAGCAGAAAGACTGAACTAAACAGTGACATTATGGGCCAATAAATAAATGAACAGCTGAAAGACTAAAGCACTGCTGTGAAAGATGTTATAAGTGTTACATTTTCATGATCTAAGGTGTGAATGGCTCTAATTTCAGCCAGCAGCTGTGTCTGATAAACCCACTGTAGGCTACGTGCTTAGCATCAACCATCAGGCAGACAAAGGAAAACAAACCCAAGAGCTGGTGGATAATAAAAGTGTGAATATTGGACTTTGTCAGGTGACCAGCAAAATGACTCAGGTGGATGGGTAAATATGGCACATTAACCGTACCAACATTATGACAATACACTGTACCATTTCTTCTGACAAAAATAAATAAATAAAAAAGTACAGCATAGAAAAAAGGAAGACTTTCTAAGCCTAAAGTAGCATGCAGTCCTTCAGCTTATCCGAAAACTTAAAATGACCAGACTTGGAGACAAGTATTGATCTTCTATCGCACAGTAAGGCACAAGTACAACACTGCATCACTTCACAGGAAAGAAGAAATGTCTCTTACTGGCGTCACGGTGAGTGATGGTTGAGGTTATGCTTGAAATGCTGGGAGACAGACACCATCATCTTCACACAGACCAGAGCAGAACAATAAATCTCTAACCTGCAGTCCATTTTCAGTGCCTTCAGTACTCCTACTATTCCCTACTTAGAGAGATGACACAGTGTGACTGTGAGGTGGCCAGCTAGTAACTACATATCACCCTGACATCCATCTCCACAGGAGGCCAACTTGCAATAAGATGTTATAATAACGGCAGCGTCTCAGTCAGTGTGTCACTCCATTTCTGAACTTTGACAGGAACCACACTGACCAATGGAAATTATTTCACAATAAACACACTGCAGAGCCGAGGCCACGTTCTAGTGATAGGTAAAAGAAAGTGGATCCATGTATTGATCAGTAGGTTCATCTGTGGATTCCTGTTCTCAGGCTGGAGTCACACTGAGAATACGCTGGGCAGAGCACAGTCAGACTGAACTAGCCTGGGCTTTGCTGTGCATTCTCAAAAGTTATCATAATTCAGCCAAGAAAGGATTAATTACCACATGGGCAGAGATTATATGAACACTGCTTCAAATTAGCAAATCACACATGATTTAAGGCAGAAAGTCCGACTGCGACAGTTTCCTGTATCTTACATTTGTTTGATCATTGTTACTTTACAACAGTTAACCCACAGCTGTCATTACAGGTGATCTGCTACCTCACCTGGCCTACTGTACACAGAATAATGTGAATCATTAATGAAATTACACCACAAGGAAAAAAAAAAAAATCTCTTGACAGACACAAACATCAAAGTCAGGTGGAGGAGAAAAGGCAATGCAATTATCATTTCACAGCCTTTACTCATGAGCAGAACACAAATTAAATAACAATTAAGGCTTCAAACAAGGACAAAGGGAGAAGTCCTGCTCTTGCTGTACCACACCAAAATCCATCCGCCTTTGAAGATTACTGGCACTATGCTTATGACATTGACTGAAGTCCCATCTTCAAATGGGCGGTGCTTTTAATTTGGTCATCTACAAAAGCGCACATTACACACCAAGTCTAAAAATACCATGTTGCCATAATGCAAAAGGACCCTAAATGGGAAGACACAGCCTGGCAAGGCCTGGGACTGGTTTCCTTTGGACAGGGAATTACTAAGAGCCAGATGGCCACATTTAAATTGATGCTTCAAATGAGGAGCAACGTGGAAAGGAATGCTTGTCAAAGAATAAAACTAGCAGTGAAAATGTATATTTCCTGTAACTTCATGTAAAGCTTGCAGCTTGAAGAATATTCTCATTTAAAGGATAACAGTATTCCATTGGTAGCATTTGATTAGTCAGTTTGAGTGGTTTGTCTGCATCAGCTGTTATCTTATAATGATTTTTGAGACTTTTTTTTTTTGCTGCACACAAAAACCAGTCAAAAAGGGAAATAGTGGATTCCCTAATAAAGAGGTTAGCAAAGCCATATCTTGACTAGGCTACTCGTGTTGCACCTGAAAATTATGTTCTACATCTACTTGCTTAGTACATGTCAGTTCCCTAGAATGAGCAATGGACTAGAACTGGCAACACTGTTTACTGACTTAGTGCTTTATGACCTTGGGAATTACAGTTGCATAACTGCCAATGGAAACTTCATAAAAACATTAAACTTGACAAACAATAACACCTAGGAATGGCAATGTAATTAAACTGCAAAACCATTACAAAAGTCCATAAAGCCTATTATAGTAACAGAGTAGCATAAATAAAGACAATGAAACATACAGTAAAGTATAAGCAACTCCCCAGAGTCCACACTAGTTATAAATACACCAAAGACCACATCCAACCCCCAAGCCTCCCTACAACAGGCCAGCATCTCCCACCATCTTCTTTTACAAGTGATTTGTTTGTGAGGATTAGACCAAATCTAGAGACTAATCTATTTTATTACAAGGCTTTTAATAGTAACCTGTGTGCTGAGCTTGGGCCAAGTGGAACAGCTCTAGGCCTAGTTCCCAGTCCGTTTCACCTCCCTGCCTCCCTTCAGGCCCCCACAGATAACAGCAGGGGTAGATCAGAGATGGAGGGATGGATGGCTCACCCAAATTTCTACCTGTTCAAAAGGGTAAGCTGTGCGTCAGCTGGCACTCATATAAGCTCTATAAATACGAGCACACATTAAAGCTACACTTGCATACAGGTACTGTATGTTCTTGTCAGCATGTATCAGTGGCATTCTTTTCTCTATCTAGCCTTCATTTATTTGGCATTTCGATGACTCACAATGAGCTTGACTCTCAGTGAAAGAAGAGGCAAAGCAGAGGTGTATAACAGAGATCTGTGTTGCTCAGAGCATGTTGAACAATATAGCCATGTTCTGTGCTATTTTCATGGCTCTTCCAAGCAGTTCATGTTTGAACAGAACCTAAAGATTATTGTTCAGCAAATAATATTTTGGCTCAATAAAACCATCAAACATAGACA